TTTTGGGAACCCCGACGGCAGCGCCCGCGCGCCGCGACGCCCATGTCGGCACGCCCCACACGAGGATCGCGCCCGCTTCCTCCCCTCCTGTTTCCTTTGCCTTTGCCCGCGCACTCCAAAGTCCAAGGCTGCGGGCGCAGCGCAAGGAGGAGCCCTCGCGACGCGCGCAGGTCGCCCCGAAGGGGTCACAGTGACGCGCACGGTTCGTACGCTGTGTGGAACAGATGCTGCTTGCTGGCTAACTGGTAGCGCGCATGGCTCTGGCCGCCAGGCGGAGCGACGACGGGGGAGCGAGGCGCTGGACAGAGCGCAGCGCGGAGTTCGCGCGACGCGCGCTGATCGCCCCGGGAGGGCCCCAGCGACGCGCGCAGGGCGTCCGCGGCGCGAGGCCAAACAGTTGGACAGCCGAGAGAAGGCGCGGCTGTGGCGGGCCGCTCCTCCAAGGGGTGTGCCGAAATGGGTGTGCGGGACGCATGCGGGCACACCCACTGGGACCTTCGGAGGAGCTCCCTATGGGGCCACGAAACATGTGAGGGGTGTGCCGAAATGGGTGTGCGGGACGCATGCGGGCACACCCACTGGGACCTTCGGTGGAGCTACCTATGGGGCCACCAAACGTGTGAGGGGTGTGCCGAAATGGGTGTGCGGGACGCATGCGGGCACACCCACTGGGACCTTCGGTCGAGCTCCCTATGGGGCCACGAAAGGTGTGAAGGGTGTGCCGAAATGGGCGTGCGGGACGCATGCGGGCACACCCACTGGGACCTTCGGTCGAGCTCCCTATGGGGCCACGAAACGTGTGAGGGGTGTGCCGAAATGGGTGTGCGGGACGCGTGCGGGCACACCCACTGGGACCTTCGGTCGAGCTCCCTATGGGGCCACGAAGCGTGTGAGGGGTGTGCCGAAATGGGTGTGCGGGACGCATGCGGGCACACCCACTGGGACCTTCGGTGGAGCTCCCTATGGGGCCACGAAACGTGTGAGGGGTGTGCCGAAATGGGTGTGCGGGATGCGCACTGGGCGGGCACACCCACTGGGACCTTCGGAGGAGTGTGAGGGTGTGCCGAAATGGGTGTGCGGGACGCATGCGGGCACACCCACTGGACCTTCGGTGGAGCTCCCTATGGGGCCACGAAAGTGAGGGGTGTGCCGAAATGGGTGTGCGGGACGCATGCGGGCACACCCACTGGGACCTTCGGTCCAGCTCCCTATGGGGCCACGAAACGTGTGAGGGGTGTGCCGAAATGGGTGTGCGGGACGCATGCGGGCACACCCACTGGGACCTTCGGTCGAGATCCCTATGGGGCCACGAAACGTGTGAGGGGTGTGCCGAAATGGGTGTGCGGGACGCATGCGGGCACACCCACTGGGACCTTCGGTCGAGCTCCCTATGGGGCCACGAAACGTGTGAAGGGTGTGCCGAAATGGGTGTGCGGGACGCATGCGGGCACACCCACCGGGACCTTCGGTGGAGCTCCCTATGGGGCCACGAAACGTGTGTGGGGTGTGCCGAACATGATGATGGTCGTGAGGATTATGACGATGATGGTGATGACGGTGATGATGACGACGATGATGATGATAACGATGATGATGGTGGGAGGAGGGAGGAGGGAGGAGGGGGAGGAGGACGAGAGGAGGGGAGAACGCGGGGCGACGTCTCTTCAAAACGAGGACCCAACACCACAGGATGGTTGGGGAAAAAACGCGCGCGCACACACACACACACACATTCACACACGCACAAATGCACACACACACACACACACAAACCACACGAGAGGAACACAGCGCACGCGGACGACTCAGGGCGAGCTGCGGCTCAAAATTCTGACACCTCGCGCGCACGATACCGCGCGGAGGCCCGAGGCCGCTCGGGGACCCGTCGTTCATCCGCCACCGTGCCGCTGGGCCCGGAGTGGGCCTGTGCTCGTGTCCTCTGCCTCACCCGTTAGCCTCAAAACGGCCCCCAAACGGCCCCCGAGGCCTCGCGCGACAGTCCAACGAACATCCTAGAGGCCCGTGCTCCACAACCCAGGCACGGTGGTGGGACGGGCCGAAGGCCACTGGCTACTACATGGTCCCACGTCCCCACGGCCCTCCGAATCGCTCGCATGGTCTTCTTTGTCACGGACGGTGGGCCTCCGAGCGGCCTCCGTGGGCCTCCGAAGGCCTCGTGTTCATCGCCGCATGTCACTCACTTGATCGTCACCGCATGACGCTCGCATTGAACCTGTTGCAGGGCATGGTGGGCCTCCGAGCGGCCTCCGAGGGCCTCTTGATCGGCGCCGAATGACACTCGCATCGTATCTGTTAGAAGGGACGGCGGGCCATGCAGGAGGTCATGTTGCATGAGACCGCGGTCTCGTGGATCCGCTTGCGACTAGCGCCGACGACGCCCAGCTAACCTGGGTTGGAGACAAAGGATCAGTATGCCAGCAGGCTCAGAAGGATTGTTGACGAGATGAATAATTGGATTACGCGTTTGGATGTCGAGGGCTTACGCAGAAGGCCTCGCCGAGCGTTTATATCTCGCAATCGAAACCAAGGGCGGCCGCACGGTCTGTACTCGGAGGGCCTGTTGCGGCCAGCTGAGACTACCCGGGGGGGCTGTCTGTGCGCAGCCCGAAGCCTTCCTACACACTGTGGCGCAGCGGGGAGGGCGCTCTCATGCACGGCTGCGAAGGAGGAGGATCCGAGGAATCACACCTGATCCTATGGACAGGCTGCGCCAACACGCCATAGCAGGGCCCCTGCTGCCGCGGGGCCCTCGCAGCAGGTTCCGGTGAGATGCCCGCTCTCGGGACAACGGACGCCAGGCTCCGCGGGCCTGGGCCCCCAGCGACCCAACGCGCACCAGCTGGGCCGATACGCGCCTTGGCACCGCGCCAGCCCGGGCCGCGACGGGAAGCCTCCAGTTCCCCGCGGCGACGGTGAACGGGAGTCCGTCCAGGAGCTCGGATGGAAGCGCAGCGATTTCAGGCCCACTCGACTGCCCCCCCCCTCAGAGGGTCACAGCCAGGGCGACGAAAACTACTGTCCACTGCTCCCAGGCCAGGCCCATCCTGAACCCAGCAGCGGTGTGTACCCCACGCCCTCCCGGCTCGGCCGGGAGGGCGTGTGCACCGCTCCTGGGTTCCGGGATGGGCCTGGCCAGGGAGCAGTGGATCGGGTCGGGCGAAAGGGGGGGATAGCAAAGGGGGGGTTTGAGAATCAGCTCGCGTAGCTGATTTTCCCGGCGCCTCCCGGCGTCGGAGGCGACCATGTATCGAGGAATGGGCCCCTCGGCGAGGCCGAAACCAGCTGCATGCAGCAAATTTCGTAACCCCCCCTTTCCCAATCCCCCCCTTTCGCCCGACCCGAGTGGACCTGTGTAGACTTCGTCGCCCGAGCAGCGAGGCCAGGCGCGAGCTGCACCCACCCCGCGCGCGGGCCTCGAGGGCCACGCGCGGGGCCCACGCGCCCGGGGCCGCGCAGGGCTCCGCCTCGCTCCCTCCGCCTCTGCGCCGCCTCGGCCCCCCGCGTGGCGGGGCGAGGGAGCGGCAGGGGCGGGGCGAGGGAGCGGCAGGGGCAGCTGGGGAGGCCAACATTGAAGGGGAACTGGAACACACAAATAAATACACACAAATAAAAACCTCCTCCATATTTTCCCATATTTTCTGGGTTTCTGTCTTCCCCCCCACTTCCCATATTTTCCTATATTTTCTCGGGAATCGAGGATTAATTGTGTCTGTGTGTTTCTTTTCCTCCTGACATGGGCACCGGGAGCGGGGCGAGGGAGCGGCAGGGGCAGCTGGGGAGGCCAGAATGGCACCGAGAGGCCGCTCTTCCCCGGACCTCTCCCAGGGTGCGCTCGGACCAAAAACTTTTGGGTCGCATCCGGCGGTGGCGGCGCGGGCACCCCAGGAGGAGGCCTCCAAAGGGGGAGCGGCACCGATGCCTTTTCCTCCCCCGAGAGGCCGGGGCAGCGAGCCGCGGTGAGCACCAGCACGCGCGGACCGCAGGCAGCACGCTGCCGATCCCCCCGCACGCGGTCCCGTGACCTCCGCGGCGTCACGATACATCAGGCGGATTTGAGCATCCTCGAGCGCGTGTGGCATGCCTGACCCGCACGCAATCGAGAATAGCATGCCACCGTGGCTTGTCACCTTGCACTGCAACCGTTTAGGCTCGAGGGTTCCTGATGGCGCGGGAGTGCGCGCAGCAGCTGGGAGCTCGGAGCCCGACCCCACACCCTGTTCGCCTGAGAGCATGACAATCATGCTCGCCCGAGCGTGAGAGGAAAGGGTGGCGCGCTGCCTGCGCGCGCCGCCCCGGAGGCGCGCAGGGCGCGCTCGGCGGAGCCGTCCGCCGAGCCAGGGCGGCCAGGAGGAGCCCTGCGAAAAACAAGACCGGAGGCCATCTCTCCTGGCGGGTCGGGAGGGCCAGGCGAGGGGGGGGGAGGAGGAGGGAGGGAGGGGAGGGGGGCAGGACAAGCTAGGTGCGCTCGCGTCATATCTGACATCCTACCCCTCCCTCCCATCCCTTACCATGGCGCAGATCCCCTCTCTACTCGCGCAGTCGGATGTCGAGCAGGGCAATGATCCCGAAAGGGTACGCGATGCATTGTAGAGCACGGCATGGCATGGCGTAGAAGAGCAACGCAAAGCGTAGCATCAACCTATCATTTCATTGCACGAAATGAGGCCAGCGCTGCAGCGGGAGCACGATTCGGAACGAGCGGGGCCCGAAAATGAGGCCGGCGCCTCAGCGAGAGCAGCATTTTAAAAAAATGCAGGCGAAAACCCAACTCCGGGGAAACCTGTGTGTAAAAAACAATACGCGGGGGGGGGTCGGACACTTTCAAGCCGTCATCAGGGGACGAGGGAGAGTAGTATTCATATTGAGTAATTGTGGAGGGCGTAGGAGGGCAGGAGGAGGAGAAGTCGGGGGGGAGGATGAGCAGGGGGCCAGGGGGGGAGGGGAAGCCAGCTGGGCGCGCACAGAGGGAGCCTCTCAGCTTCGCGAGGCCAGGAGAGGTGATGCTGACGTTGAGCCGGGAGCCGAGGTCGCGCTCGGCGCCGTGCGTTCTGGGCACGTCTGCCAGAGAGCCCGCCCTGCGCCCTGCAATCCGAACCTCCTCCCCCACGCCCACTCGATCCAGACCAACTCTTCTCCCGTTCCTCTCCTCCTCCTCCTCCTCCTCCTCATCATCATCATCAGCATTAGCATCAGCAGCATCAGCATCATCATCAGAAACAGTTTTCATCATCAACATCATTATCCCAGTGCGACCCTACCTAGGAGTTGGAGCATTTAGGAAAGCAACATCTACATCTACACCGACAGCTACATGTACATCAACACCTGCATCTACATCTACATCAACATCAACAACGAGACTCACATCTACATTTCCAGGGTACGCTCGGCTGCGCTGTGTTATGCTAGACGATGCAATGCTACGTTATGCTGCGCTATGCTATGCTATGCTATGCTAGTTTATGCTATGCTATACTGCGCTATGCTGTGCTATGATATGCTATGCTGCTCTATGTTATGCTATGCTATGCTATGCTATGTTATGAGATGCTATGCTGCGCTATGCTATGCTATGCTATGCTGCGCCATGCTATGCTATGCTATGCTGTGCTATGATATGCTATGCTAGGCTGCGTTGTGCTATGTTAAGCTATGATGTGCTATGATATGCTATGTTATGCTGCGCTATGCGATGCTATGCTATGCAGAACTGTGCTATGCTATGCTATGCTATGCTATGATTGGCCATGCTATGCTATGCTATGCTGTGCTCATGCTGCGCTGCGCTATGCTGCGCTGCGCTAAGCTAAGGTAAGCTAAGGTAAGCTAAGCTAGGCGAAGCTAAGCTAAGCTAAGCTAGGCTAAACTAAGCTAAGCTGAGCTAAGCTAAGCCAAGCCAAACTAAGCTAAGACGAGATAAGCTAAGATCAGCTAAGCTAAGCTAAGCTAAGCTAGATTAGGAAAAGCTAAGCTAAGCTAAGCTAAGATGAGATAAGCTAAGCTAAGCTAAGCTAAGCTAAGCTAAACTGGGTGAACCCAGGGGGCGCAACTGGGGGAACCGCGGGGCGGATCCTGGGGAAACCGCCCGGGGCGAGCCCCACTGCCCGGCCCCTTGAAGCTCAGAGAGTAAGAACCCTTCTAGGCAGAGCCTAGGTAGGGAATCATCAACATCATCATCATCATCATCATCATCATCATCATCATCATCATCATCATCATCATCATCACCATCATCATCATCATCCTCATCATCCTCATCAGCATCATCATCAGCAGCATCATCACCACCAGCATCACCATCATCAGCATCATCATCGTTGTCATCATTAGCAGCAGCATAATCATCATCACCACCAGCATCATCATCATCACCATCATCGGCAGCAGCATCATCATTATCATCATCACCACAACCAGCATCATCATCATAATCAGCATGCGAATAATAGTAGTAATAATAATAATAATACGAATAATAACCACAATACTCATAATAATGATGGCACGAATAAGTATGGCAATACGACTAATAATACTAAACACTACTACGACTAATAATAATAACGTTGATAATGCTGATGATAATAATAATACGAATACGAATAATAATAGTAGTAATAATAATATTGATAAGAAGAAGAAAGAAGAAGCATCATCAGCAGCAGCATCATCAGCAGCAGCAGAAGCAGCAGCAGCATCATCATCCTCATTATCATCCTCATTATCATCCTCATCCTCATCCCCCCTCCTTCTACTCCTACTCCTCCTACTCCTCGGCGGGGGCCTGCCCAGAAGGCCTCAACGGAAGCTGCTAGCAAAATGGTGCATATATATTCAATTGGGATTCTCTTTGAGGCCCTTGGGGCCACCTAGGGGCCCTCTTGGAACGCTTTTGGAAGCCTCTCGGGGCCCTCTGAGGAACCTTCTTGGGCCGTTTCGGAAGCTCGCTGGGGTCCCTCAGGAGGGCCCCAACGGAAGCTGCCAGCATCAGGGTGTCCAGTAGCTTTCGTTGGGGGTTGCGGCCCTCGGGGCCAACTCGCGGCCCTGATGCAACGCTCCTCGAGGCCCAGATTCAATGTACGTATCTGCACGCACGTATGAGGGTGAGCTGGACAAATCATCATGACCGAGCCAGACGAAAGTATGGAACCCCAGCTGGAGGCCGAACGTGTGCAAAAACAGGCCGTCGCGGTCTTTGCCATAGCGCCAGAAGGTCTGGGATTGGATCGGCAGGCGCAGTGGGGCTCCCCGAGCCTACTCTGAAGACGCCATCGTGGCCGTCGATGTCCCCGCCGCAGCCCCTGCCGGCAAGCCGGCCATGGTCCCAGACCACCGCGCAGCTGGAGAACGCTGGCACCACCTGCGGGGAAGGAGAGCATCCGCCACCGCCACGCGAGGGCGCCGATCCTGCCCCGACCTCCAGCGCCACAAACCAAATCGAAATCGGCAACCGTTTCTTCACGTCTTCGGCTGGATCTTGGCGATGCGCAGGGGTGGTTCAGGGGGAGGGGGGAAGGCTTCTTAGAAGGAAGCTGCTTCTTAGAAGGCGCGGGCCTTACATCCAGAGACAAGGCCCGCTCCTTCTAAGAAGCAGGGGTGATTCTAAGAAGCATTCTCCCCTCCCCCTGGCCCCCCCCCCTGCGCGTAGCCGAGGATCGGGGCTCGAGAGCTGCGGGCCCACGCCAAGAAGACAATGCGACGTCGACGGAGGCCTGGGACTCCACCAATGCACCAGCCCTGGCTGGGCCGATCCCCCGTGCCCAGGATCGGCCTGGCCAGGGATCGGCGCAGGTGAGGGCAGAGCCGACGCCCTCCGAGCCCAGGCCCCCGGAGCAAGACGAAGCCAGGACGAGGATCAGCTCGGGCGAGGACACATCGAGAATCTCTGAGATCCAGCGGCCCTGGAAGCTGTCTCGGGCGCCGCGCCCTTCCCACGGCGTTCCGGACCAATCTGGAGCGGATTCCTCCTCGTCCTGGCCCCGTCCCACACAGGCCCATAGATGCCATGTGGCCGGCTCCGGACCCCCCCGGGATCCAAAAATGCTGCCTCCTCCTCCTCCTCCTCCTCCTCCTCCTCCTCCTCCATCGCCTGGGCCTCTCGCTTCTGCTTCCGCCGCCCTCCGCCGCCCTTCCGCCGCCTTCCGCCGGCGGGACCCCGCCGCCGTGTCGTGTCCGCCGGCGGGCCCGCCAGCCTTACCGCCGGCTTCCGCCGAGGGCGAGGTGCGTCGTACACCCTGCGAAATGCTTAAGAAATCATGGGTTAAGAAATTCATAGTCTCAGAACTTGAATAAAAACCTAAAGTTTCCATTCAAATCTTAGGATATACATTGAAACATTAAGAATAATCGAGACTCTGGCCGGAAAAAACAGTGTTCTTAAGCATCGCCTAAGGTGTATGGCGAGGCCGTTTCTGGAGCGCGGCATGTGGCCTCCCAGACTGGCTGGAGGCCGGTGCCCACCCAGGTCTGGGGCCAGACCCATAGGGCGACGAAATCTATACATATCCACTGCTCCACGCCACGCCCTCCTGGCTTGGCCAGGAGGGCGCATATACAGCTCCTGGGTTCAAGATGGGCATGGTCAGAGAGCAGTGGATATGTATAGATTTCGTCGCCCGAACCCAGGTGGGCCTCTGGAGGCTTGGTGGTGGTCGTGGTGGACGTTCTCCCCTCTCCGGGCCACCGCGCGTGGCGGATACTGCCTGCGGCCGGTGTACCTCCGCGCGGTGGAGCACTGCCTCTGTCCTCCCCGCGTGCCCCCTCTTCTTGTGCCATCCCCCTCACATCAGGGCGCGGGAAAAGCAGTCACAACGATTGTTTTGTTCGCTTCGGGCCCTCAGAGCCTCACCGATCGGTCCTTCTCGTCGAAACCAGATGGAGGTACGGGGTCGAGGGGTCTAACGGTGCTTTGTTCACGACGTCGTGACTTTCAACAGCGCTGGAATTTCCTCCATTTCACAACCAGGATGCAAAGGGCAAGAAAATAGAGAGTGAGAGGTGGGGAGGGCTGGGGTTGGAAATTCACCTTCAGCCATCTGCCCAGACACCTGGCGCACGTGCCGCCCCTGCCGCGGAAGTTCCCTGGACATGGGACAGTGAAGAAGCATCCGTTGGCAGCGAAGTGATCCGGATCCCATGGGTTGCACTCGACTTTCTCGTTGGAGAAGCTCGTCTTGCAGACGAACCCCAGGTACGAGAAGAAAAAGAAGCGAGCTCTGCTTCTGACGCCCGCGCAGCTCCCGATGCCCGTGCCATGGCTGCCAGCGGCATCTGCACCAGCACCCTGGTCACAGGCGAGCAGCAGCTGGTCATCGCCGAACCAGCGCCGCTCCTCGGGCAGCACCTTCCGCGACATCATCCTGCACGGCTTCCCAGAACGCGTGCGGTAGTGAGGCAGCTCCAGACGCCCGGCCCAGTTTGCCACAGTGTTGGACGTGAGGTCGATGATCTCAAACTTGCTGTTGTTCCCTGCAGTCTCCTGCGGAGTGGACATCACGGTCACATTCTTGGTGTCCAGAAAGTGGTTGGTGATCTGAATCGAGTCGTATCCAAGGCTCCTCGCCCTCTCGATGGCGTCAGGATGGACTTGGGTGCACGGGAAATCGTGCACCCCAAAGATTTTCTGGAGCAGTCTCATGTTGTATTTCCACCTCCCCTTTGACATTGGGCAATCCTTTAGGAAAGGGCATGGACACATCAATCCGAATTGTTCGTTCAGGTCCTGGTGTGTACCTACCACCATCGTGCGACCTAAATCAAAAAAGACGTGATCTTCAGCATAGGATGGATGTTCCACCCCATACAACCAACGCGCCCCGAACGCACCGTCCTCATTGTCCAAGAAGTGATAGACTGCAACGACTGTATTATTAGGCTGTGCCCCTTTTAGGAAGGGCAGAGCAGCTGTGCCCGACAAGTTTGTGGCCGTGCCGACGACCACGCCCTCGTCAGGATCGGCCACGAGGTCCTCGTCGGAGTCCGTGGGATCAGGCCGAAGCACCTGCTCATCTGGCAAGTCTATCAGAAACAACCCACCAGCAAGTATCACTACTATAGCGAAGAAGGCCCTCGGTCTGATGCACTGTTTTACGAATCTGCCTCCACATGACATCCAAGGCCTATTGCCATTCTTAGGGCTAACACGCATATTCTCGCCGATTCGCACACGATGCGCACCAGACTCGCAGGCTTGAGCAAGGCAAATGAAAGAAGTCTCTGGCTGTCAATGGGGGAAGGCGAACGGAATCGAACTGGGAGGAGGGCTGGGACTGTTGAAGAGCTCACAGACGGAAACAAGAGCGTCCGAAGAGACGTTGACAAGAAACTTTGGCGGAGAGCCGCGCAGGAGCACAGGATGAGGTGGCACAGGATGAAGTGGCAGAGTCACGTAGAGAGCGGATCACGTCGCAATGATCCCACCACTGAACAGCCCCGGATCGCCAACACGCAACACACGCAATCATAGCGGTAGCACATGTCAGGGTGTTTCCGTCAGCCACTTGGCATGGACCTTCGCAAACAAACATCCAAACAATCCCAACAACAGTCGAAAGCCTGCGTGCTCGTGTTAATTGAAGTGTGGTTGCATGCAAGGTGCGCGCATACCATGATACACAACTGAATACTACACGCACTGCGCACGTGTCTATGTGCGTGCCATACCCGTTTCACAGCAAGCACAGGAGAAAGGGAGGGACAGGAAACGCAAGGACAGGGTAATGAGGACGAACATGGAATGAGGGCGACGGAGAAAGAGAGAGGGGTCTGGAAGAAGGGAGAAGGGAGAGGGCGGATGACAGGGGAGGAGGGAGATAGGGAGGAGGGACAGAGAGAAGAGCCTGGAGCGAGGAGGGAGAGGAAGCAGAAGGGTGGAAGGAAAGAGAGGGTGGCGGAGAGAGGAGGGAGAGGTGGAGGAGAGAGAGAGAGAGAGAAAGAGCGAGAGAGACAGAGATAAAGAGAGAGAGAGAGAAAGAACAAAACAAATGACGACGCAGGAAGAGAGAGGGAGAGAGGGAGAGAGCAACCTAGGCTCTGACCTCCGCTGTCGTACTTTCTTTCACGACGTGGGCCCCCACTAATCTTGGCACGATCCCCAACCCCGACTTTTCGTCGCGAGTTGTTTCCGAATGGTCCCACCACGGCCCGAAGATGGCCCCCCGGATGCCGCAATCGCCCATGATGTTTTGATGGCATCTCGAGGTCCGAAAAAAACACCCACCTGACCCGCTCCGAAGACTCTGAACCCAAGCACGTTGACGTCTCTTGGACGTGCATCTTCCCGTGCCCCAAAGCACCCCGCCACAGACCCAGAATAGACGAGACTCGACTTCAAAAACCTGATAGAGCCACGAACTCCAACCTTGGAATGCAGGCGGGGATGATTTGTGAGATCGGCAGGGGCAAGGCAGGGCGGGAAAACAGGACGGCCATGTTGGTCCCCTGGCTGTCCGTTTCAGGACTTGGCGGGGTTCCCCGAGGATATTCAGCGCGTCTTTGGGGGGAGCTCAGCACGTTGCCGTGCGAGGCACGAAATGAGCTGGGCAGGGCACCACGCGAGCCACTTGAAACAATGAAGCCGTGTGAGGTGAGCTCAGCACGCCACCATGCGAGCCACCGGCGTTGCTAGGACAGTGCGTGGGGAAGCCGTTCGAAGAAGGAAGACGTGGGTGAACTCAGTAAGTTACCATGCGAGCCACGAAGTGAGCTCACCCCGGCACCACGCGAGCCGCTCGCAAAATAGTACTGTGGGAGGCGAGCTCAGCACGGCACCATGCAAGCCACCAGCAAACTTGGGGCCGTGCGTGCGGAGGCGACCACGAAAAACGCTCTGTCTTTAGGGCGCTGCGGCGGAGAGCTCGAAATGCGGGTCTGTGCTCCTCTGCAGGTGAGCTCAGTACGCCACCATGCGAGCCGCTGGCAAAATGAGGCCGTGCGTGTGAAGGTGACGGGGGCGAACGCATGCGGCTTTGGGATTGAGCCACGAAGTGAGCTCAGCCCAGCACCACGCGAGCCACTCACAAAATAGTGCTGTGGGAGGCGAGCTCAGCACGGCACCATGCAAGTCACCAGCAAACTTGGGGCCGTGCGTGCGGAGGCGACCACGAAGAAACGCTTTGTTTTGGGTGCGCTGTGGCGGAGAGATTGAAATGTGGGTCCGCGCTCCTCTGCAAGCACGCCACCATGCGAGCCGCTGGCAAAATGAGGCCGTGCGTGTGAAGGTGACGGGGGCGAACGCATGCGGCTTTGGGATTGAGCCACGAAGTGAGCTTAGCACGGCACCATGCGAGCCACTCGCAAAATAAGGCCCGTGCGAGGTGAGCGCAGCACGCCACCATTCGAGCCACCCACGGCACCATGCGAGCCACTTGAAATTACCCTGCGACGTACCCAACCCAATGGCATCAAGTGGCAAGCGGAGTAGGGAAACATTCGCAGGAACCGTGACAGTGCAGGCGCGGCGATTTGTAGTGCGACCTACATGGGATGCGTAATGTTGCACGACTCACAGAACAGCAATCGATAAGACGAGGAGTATGTCTCAAGGCTTGTTAAACAATAGCGGGGGCGGGAACGAGGGACAGGAGAAGGACGAACCCAGTAGGAAGGGGCGTGGAGCCATCGCAGCAGCAGCACCATGAATGCATAAGGTAACAGGAGGACTAGGGCGGCGATGATGAAAGAGGAGGGAAGAAGCAAGAGACTGTTTCGTTTTTGCAGGAGCTCGGTCAACGCATGCCTGCTGCCTGTCCACAGGATCATACCTGTTTATATCTAGCGCAGGAAGCGATCGAGACCTAGCTCGCGCGCCAGCTTCTCTGCCTCCTTCCTGCATGTTGCAGTGCGGGAACTGAACTTCCGAAGTTTCTCCGCAAGGTCTGCCGGTGGGCCGCGGGCAAGAAAGTCAAGGCCGGGGTCGCGCACCATCAGTAAGTAGGTTGTCTAACGTCGTCGCCCTGGACAGCATCACGTAGAGGTGCAGCCACAGAGCGCCCAGGTCGTTCGCATCCTTGCACCCTGCGTCAACAATGACTCCGCGGTGCATGGTGCGGCCCTGGCAGGCAGTGGACGTCAGGACCTCGGCGTGGGAGATGACGAAGCCAGTGCGCGTGACCTTGTACTTGCGGAAGTCGAACGGGCTCGAGCTCTGTGGCTCGACGAAGACGAGGCCCGCTGCGTTCGCAGCGTCGATGCTGTCATCGAGCTCCTTGAGCTTCTTTCCGCAGGGACCACCCTTGTACTTGTCCATGCGCACCCACACGCCGTACGGCAGGTACCGCAGGTACGCCCGACCTCCCTCGGCCTTCGCTCTCTCCACCACGCCCTCATCCTTCGGGTTGATGGCCACGTGCACGACCGCGCCCTCGGCGTCCTTGACGAGCACCTTGTCGAGGTCCAGGTGCTCCAGCAGGCGTATGCGCATGCCCACGTGCAGCGGCAGCATCCCGTGAATGCCGCCCGTGTCGCCCGGGTTGACGCGGTTGACCAGCTTCGCGGCCAGGTCCACGGGCAGCGAGGGCGAGGACTTGTCGGCTGCCTGGACGAGGTAGAGCACCCGCCCGAGGGACGCGGCGTCCCTCCTCGCCCGCATCATCATACACCGAGCCACGGTGTCCCAGAACCAGGCGATCATGTGTCCAGTCTGGAACCGATCCTCGCCCAGTCGGGGGTCGTTGGGCTTCATCTGAATGCATCTCCAGGTCTCCGCGATCTTCTGAGGGACCTTGCCCTTCTTCGGCTTGCGCGTGTAGTTCATGAGTTCATGAGATCGGCAAGATCGGGGTCCTTGAAGCGGTTGGTGGCCTGGAGCTCGAAGCACAGTTTCGTGTCGCAGAAGAACGTCATTGCCGTCTGGTGCTCGACGGGCGGCCCCTCCTTCCGACTGTCGGCGGACCCCAACCGTTGCAGGTCGGTCAGCAGTGACATGCCGGAGCCGGTAGGTTTCAGCTGCAGGAAGTCCCCGAGGTATATCACGATGGGGACGCGGCCGAAGGCGCTTCTGGGATGCAGGTAGTGCGCCTCCTGCAGGTTGCATTTTGCGCGCCTGGCGAGGAATGCGCGGTAGGCCAGCATGTTGAAGAGGTTCGGCGACACCATGCTGACCTCCTCGATGACGAACAGCCGCAGCTCCGACCAGATGTCCTGCAGTCGTTTCAGGACATCGGCCGTTGGCAGCATCGCGTGGTTGCGGTGCTCCACGATGCCCATCTGCGCCGCCCTGTGGCACGTGGTCGCCTTGTGGTGTTCGGTGGAGATGTTCTCGGCCTGGGACCACTTGGCGCAGACGATCTGCGTGGTCTTCTTTCCATTCTCCCCGACGAAGAGGAAGTCTATCGCGGGCAGCACGATCTGCTGGACGATCGCCGTCTTGCCGGAGCCGCCCTGGCCCATCAGGAGCATCTGGAAGGTCTGCCGTTGCTCCCGTGGCTTGTCTTCTTTCTCGTCATCCCACACGGTATTGCAGGCCTCCGCGACTCAAGAAATTAATTTCACAACCTGGCGATGGTATAAGAATCGGGAATGATTAGCGGGCATGATGGGCAACTTCACTTCCAAGCCAAATCGCCACAGTGATCATTCATCATGCTCGTGGTCAAAAGAACTGAGTGACAAGAGAGCCCGAGGGGCAACCTCACCTCTGAAACGACCCGCGTCAGTGGTGACAGTTTCCCAGAATGGCAGCCCCCCAGGGACGGCGAGGTCTAATCTGAATCTGGGTGGTGCCTCACTCCGCTGGACCCACCAGCAGCCCTCGAAAGTGGTGACAGTTTCGCAGATCGCAGCCCCCCCCAGGGATGGTGAGGTCTAATCTGGATCTGCGTGGTGCCTCACTCCGCTGGACCCACCAGCAGCCCTCGAAAGTGGTAACCGTTTCGCAGATCGCAGACCCCCAGGGATGGCGAGGTCTAATCTGAATCTGCGTGGTGCCTCACTCCGCTGGACCCACCAGCAGCCCTCGAATGTGGCGACAGTTTCGCAGATCGCAGCCCCCCAGGGATGGCGAGGTCTAATCTGAATCTGCGTGGTGCCTCACCCCGCTGGACCCACCAGCAGCCCTCGAATGTGGCGACAGTTTCGCAACCAGCAGCCCTCGAATGTGGCGTCAGTGTCGCAGATCGCAGCCCCCCAGGGATGGCGAGGTCTAATCTG